ACATAAGTTTAGAAAAACCTTAACTCTGCCCCTTGGTTGGCACACATTTTATTTAAAAAAAAAAAAAAAAAAGTCCAGTAACTTGGATACAGCTTCTGTCAAATTATCAACCGCAAAGGCTTTTTACCATCTTGAATGGTAAAACAGCGCAGGCTTCTCTTAACAGCCTGGTGTCATGATGGAGGAACAGTTTTTAACAGCAGCATCCATAGCAGATAGATGCCAACTGCTTCTTCCTGTTCAAAGAGTCTGTGTTACCAGATCCGTTTCTGATCATTATGGGAACAGATGGATCCAAACTCCTAGACAAAACATTTTGCATCACATCAGTAAGGCTGGAATGATGAAAGCCCATTAGACCAGTGAAATACCACATTTGATATTCAGTGTATCTTTGTGGGACCCACTAGTAAAGCAGCACTGTTGTGCTGCTCAGCATTTTATAATCTAAATACTCAAGTGTCTTTTCCAAAAATGGGAGCAGAGTTAACTGGGTTTGTCCTGACTGCTTTTGCAGACTTTGCAGTATATGGCATTAACTTTTATTATGAAGATGAACCTTAACCTGGGATTTCCAGGTTTTCAAACCTATTTTTGACTGAAATAAATCATAGATGAAGAAAGTGGGGTTTGTCTGGGAATTATTATTCCTGTCCCCTTCAGATTGCTATTGGAGAATTTCCAAAGTGCCCTGTCTCCCTTATAAGCCTGATAAATTAACCTCGTTGATTCTTCTGAGACCTTTACTTGGCTGGCTGCAAGGTATTGTTTGGTCTCTTCTGCCAGTTCCTAGCTTAAGTTTGTTCCCCTGGGGCCGGAGTATTTGCAGCTGAGCACAGTGTCCCAGGTGCAACCTCCCCAGAACCACACAGCGAGAACATATCCCTTCTTTGCTCAGTGTGGAAGACCCCGTCCAGTTAGAGTTGATGCATGTTGGGGCTTGCCCCCGTGTGACACTTGTCTCTTCCCCTCGCCCCGGTCCCAGGTGCCGGATGTGTTCGCTGACCTTCTACTCCAAGTCGGAGATGCAGATCCACTCCAAGTCCCATACGGAGACAAAGCCACACAAGTGTCCTCACTGCTCCAAGAGCTTCGCCAACAGCTCCTACCTGGCCCAGCACATTCGCATCCACTCAGGGGCCAAGCCCTACACGTGCAGCTACTGCCAGAAGGCCTTCCGCCAGCTCTCCCACCTGCAGCAGCACACACGGTAAGGGCCAGAGGAGGCTGGGGGCCCTCCGCACTGCATGTTGCCGTCATCCCAGCATGCTGTGAGCACTCTCAGTGGGCGACTGCCTGGGGAGACCTTGCCGTTTTCCGCAGGCTGGTCAGGTCTTGCACACGACAAACCGGCAGTAGTGGTATCTGACACGTGAGACTCCTCACTTGCTGTGAGGGGCTGGGCGTGCACGGAGGTTAGCGCTGCTCACCCAAAGGGGCGTCCACAACGGAGTGACGCTTTCTGACAGAAAGGTAGGGCTGGTTGTGTCAGAGCGAGAGTAGGGCGGGCGTAGGAGGACTGTTCCCTGTCTCCCCAGCGTAGTTCTGCCAAATGTCTCAGTCCAGGCTTGCAGCCTCCCTGCTATTTCAGCCATAGGCTTCCCACACACAGCTCTGCCAATGCCCCTCAGTCCAGACTCTATAGTTCCTCTCTCTGGATCCTCCCCCGGTGCAGACAGACCATGGTCTCTTGAATCGAAGGGGAGCACGGTTTGAGA